CCAGCCTCTGGGGCACCTGCTCTCTGTACTGTGCAGCAGTCTCGGTTGTGATGAGTGGGGAAGGAGCACGGGGTGTCCCCCCTCTTCCCCAGCTCCAGGAGTCCTGGCTCCTACTTTCCGCCAACTCAGGTGTGATTCAAGCTGTGGTTTTGGAGGTTTCCAGCATCTCGGATTCTAGCTGAGGGTCCTTCCTGTGTAGTCTGACCTAAGTCAGAGGCAGAAGTCTGCTCTTTCCTAAGGCATCCTTTCGTTCAGTAATGCAGCTCCATTGTCACCAGGGAGCGACAGCAAGCCGTCCCTGGGCACCTCCTGAGTCATGGTTTCCTCTTAGCGTCAAGTACCTGCGTGGAGTGGGAGCCTCCTTTGTTGAAGCGTCAGCCAAAGCCAGGGACACGGGCGACGTGTGAATCCGATGCGTTCATTAGCGTGGCTCAGCCTTTCACGTGGACACCAGTTTCAAGACATGCTGCGGCACCCCAGAAACAGACACAAGTTTATTTGTCAACCAAGTTCGTTAATAAAAGGAAAGCAAAACAAAACAAGAGGCCAGACAGCCAGCATGGCACAGGGTGTGACCAGAACTAGGAGACTGAGAGCGGCCCCCCACCATTCACTCTTCACCAATGAGGCCTCGTTTTCCAGAGTTCCTCGCCCACCGGCCAGGCTCCTCAGGATCACCTCCCCATGACCTGCAGAGCAGGTACGGACACGGACACCATTCGGCAGCTCCACCTCCTCTGAGACTAGCCAAGTTGATTTCACTCTGTCACTTTTTCAAATTCAGTGGGCGGGGGGGGGGGGGCACTGAACTGGGACCAAGGTCAATATGTGAAAAAGACTCTATTTCTAAAGGAAAGAAAAAATACCAACTTACCTGAGGAAAGCTTTTTGATATCTTACTGATAGACAAGCACATTAATGTGCTTTCTATGTCACTTTTAAAATGAATTCAGATGCCAACGATGAATAAAAACTGTAAAAGCATGCAAGAGCATGGGCTTAAATCTTCTTTTTAATACACAAATTAAATACTCCTATTAAAATGGCATTAGAAAGAGGTGTTTTGCTCTTCCCACAGACCTCGGTAAGTCTATTTGTTGGTTAGAGCTGCCGTAATGTTTCACGGATTTGATGGCTTAGACGTCACAAATTTATTTTTTCACAATTCTGAACTCCAGAAGTGTGAGAGCAAGCTGTCAGAGGATTGGCTCCTTCTGAGGACTCTCCCTGGCCTGCAGATGGTGACTTCTGCCTGTCCTCACGTGGTCATCCCTCTGCATAGTTTGTGTCCTCATCTCCTCTTCTTATAAGGACATGGTCACATTGGTTAAGGCCCACCCAGATGACCTTATTTTAACTTTATTACCTCTTTTAAAGATCTCATCTCAAAATGCATCATTGTGAAATACTGGGGGTTAGGATCTCAACCTGTGGGTTTGAAGGAACACAATTCAGCCATCTCAGTACACTTGGGCCCATAATAGCACAGTTTTCACAAAGTTACTCAATACTATCAACATTGCCCTCAAGAAATAGCCATGCCACATACTTTTGAATCACATCATTTTATTTATTGAATTAACTATAGTATATCTACATAATGGAATAACAAAAATGGCATCAAAATGAAATAACCATAAAATTACACTAGAGAAAAACATATTTATGTAGTTACCTTTACCAGACCTTCCTTTTTTGTTTCTTGGTGAGATCTGAGTTATTGTCTAGTATCCCTTCATCTCGCAGAAGGACTTCATATATTATTCTTGTAGTGCAGTATGGCTAGCGGGCTAGGCACAAATTCTCTCCATTATTGTTTGTGGAGAGAGTTAATTTCTCCATCATTGGTGAAGAATAATTTTGCTGGATATTAAGTTTTTGGTTGACAGTCTTTTTCTTTGTGTTTGCTTTGAAAAATATCTTCCCACTGCCTTCTCACTTCCACAGTGTTTTATGAGAAATCGGCTGTTAGGATTATCAAGGATCACTTCTATGTGATGAGTTACTTATCTCTTTCTGATTTCAGGATGCCCTCTTTATGATTATGCTTCAACAGTTTAATTAAGATGTGCTAGGTACGAATATCTTTGAGTCTTATTTAGAGTTTGTTTAGCTTCTTGGATCTGGTTTTCAACCATTACATCTTCAATTATTTCTTCCTCTCCTTTCTCTCTATATTCTTCTTCTGAGACTCCCATTATGCATATGTTGGTATCTCAGTCTCTGAGACTATGCTCATGTTTCTTCATTCTTTTTTATTTATTTTCCTCGATAATCTTCATTACGCTCACTGATCTTTAAGCTAACTAATTCCTTCTTCTGACAACTCAAATATGCTGTCCCTCCAGTGAAGCTTTCTTTCATATATTGTACTTTTCATCTGAGAATCAATTTTGGTATTTTACATATAATTTGTGTTTATTTACAGATATTCTCTACTTGGTGAGACATCATTCTCCTAATTCCCTTCATTTAAAAAAAAAAAGAAAAACATGACTTACTTTAGTCCTTTGGATATGTTTTAAATAGTTCATTTAAAGTTTTTGTCTAATGACTCCAGTGTCTGGACTTTCTCAGGGAAAGTTTTCCTTGACTACTTTCTTTCTATGTATGGGGCATACTTTCTTCTTTCTTTGCATTCATAAGTTTTTGTGGAAAATAATATAATGTATCAACCCTAAGAATAAAAATTCCCCTTCCTCTCAAGATTTCTGTTGTTGTTACTATGTGTATTTTTTAGTGACTTTTCAGAGAAAATTCTATAAGTTTTGTACTCTTTTGTGTTTGATTACTAAGGTCTCTACTCAGTTAACTTAGTGGCCAGCTAATGATTAGACAAAAATTTCCTTAAAATCCTGTAACAAATAAGTCCCTCAGTCTTTGTCAAAAGGCTCTGCATGCATAATAGGCCTACCTGAAACACTCAGGCAGGCACTTTACAACTCTTGCTTGCACAAGCCTCAAGGTCAACTAGAGGTGAGCTCAGGGCTTTCTCAGGTCTTTCTCAGACATGTTCACAGTCCCACACTCACATGTGTTAACATGAGTTAACTTACAGAACTCTAATTTATTTTGTCAATTTTTGCCAGTGTTCTCATCTCCTTTATGAAGAAATGAGATTTCCAAAGTTTTCATTTCACATTTCTAATAGCATCCTCTTGACTGTATCCTATGTAGCTCCTTCATACTCATTGCCAAAGTTCTAATTCTCTCTTCAGCCAATTCCAACTACTGTAAAACTCCATTTAGACTTTAATTTGAATATTTGTATTTATTTCCAGTTCTGTTTGGTTATTTATGCAGCCAGAAATTAAAGTCTGGGTAGATTATATTTGATATTATGTTATGTGATTGCCAGAAACAATCAGCAGTAATTGTTTAATATTGTGTCTGTCTGGGAAAGCAACAGGATAGTCAGAATATGAGAGGAAAATCTGCAGAAAGATGGTCATGGGGGCTTTGAAGCACTCTGACATATTCCTGAAGTCCCTGAGCATGTGTAGAGCTGTAAGCACACACTTCCATTATGAAAATAAAGTTGTTTAGCATCCTTTCCCCTGGTTTCCCATTCGTGCCTCATGCTGAGCCCACATATCTCTACCATCCCGCCTGCCCCCACCACCTCCAACACAGATAGAGGAACTCAAAAACCATTTGAGAAACAACAGCAAGGCAGTGTTGATCTGCTCTTCTCTGTACATAGGAGCCCCCGCAGGGCTCATTTTACAGGTGGTGTTTTGTGGGGTTGACCAGTGGAAAAGGGCAGGAAGAGGGCTGGAGTCGGGGCTGGTGCTGCTGGGCCCTCACGGTTGCAGCTGAGTCAAACCCGTAAATCCCAGTTTCTTCTTCTAGACACAAGAAGCAAGTGCAATGCCTCAGGAGTATTTTGTGGCCCTGACTCTTCTGCATAAATCTCACTCGTCTCCATTTCCCCTACCCCACCACAAGGCAGTAGCTTAATACGTGTTACTGGCTGTCCTGACAAATGACATACTGACTAGCTGACCAGCCGCTGTCCTGAATGAACTCAGGTCCACAGCAAGACTATCATCAGTCTTTGGTTGTGTTGCTTTGTAGGTCCCTTGCTCTACTGAAAAGTTGTTGTCTTAATTATACTTTATAACTGTGTTGGTATAAAGGTGAGTATAGTAACATTTTCTTAATCCACACTTTGAAATAAATTCAAACATTTTGTGAGCCCTTTATAGCATCTGTGAGCCCAAACACTATACCTACTTGCCGAACAGAAATTTGGTCCCCAGCAAATGACCACATGAATGCTTCCATTTCCTAAGAATGTTAATGAAAGAGCTTAGGCCTGGTTTTTCCAATAAGATACACGGTTGACCTTCATTCTTTCAGGTCACATTTGAAAGCCCTTTTCCTGGGCTGTCAGTAGTTCACATGGCATTTTGTGCAAATAAGAAGAGGGGGAAGCCCTTAAATTCCTGTTGCACTATCTGAGCAGATTTCCCTGGTGGCCGAGGGAAAGTGGAAATTCAGGTGTGTACCCTTCCAGCCAAGGCCAAGGCCATGGCCTGGGTGTCATGACAGTGGGAGGGGAATCCTAGCCCCTGCCCCCAGCTCAGAGGCCACCTAAGTGTAGTTCCATGAGCCAGACTGCATTCTAGGTCTGTGACCAAAGAATTCAAGTCCCACTAGCACTGAGGCAGAGCCTCTGAAAGCATGGGTGACCAGAGTCGTGACCTCAGGACTCTCCAGGGTGGAGGGGACAAGGCAGAGTCACAGTCACATATAACCCTGTGTGCACACTCACACTGGCTTTCTCGTGGGAATGCACAGACATGCAGGCGCCTGCGGTCCCCTGAGTCCTGGAACCTCCATGGCTCTGTGTCTACAATGTGAATGATACCTCCACGGTGTTGGCCCCTTGTGCATCTCTCAGTGCACCCAAAGGCCACCCCAGGCAGCCCTGCCCGGCTCACTGAGCGTCCTGGGCCTGGGAAAGCTCACTAAAGCCTCCCTTCTTCTCTCCGCAGGGATGACGTGCCAAGCCCGAAGCTCCTACATCACCAGTGAGATCCTGTGGGGTTACCGGTTCACGCCCGTCCTGACGCTGGAGGACGGCTTCTACGAAGTTGACTACAACAGCTTCCACGAGACCTACGAGACCAGCACCCCGTCCCTTAGTGCCAAAGAGCTGGCCGAGCTGGCCAGCAGGGCAGAGATGCCCCTGAGTTGGTCTGTGTCCAGCAAACTCAACCAACATGCAGAACTGGAGACTGAGGAGGAAGAGAAAAATCAGGAAGAGCAAACAGAAAGGAATGGTGACGTGGCAAATCTAGAGAATGAGTCCAAAGTTTAGCGCCTGGCTGGGCCCCCTCCCTCCTGCCCCAGACGTGGCCTTTCCTCGTCACTCATCCTCTTTCTTTTGGTCTCTCTGGCTTTGTTCTTTATACTTAATTTTGACATCACCAGAAAACAAGTCTTCAAGGTGTAAAATCCCTACCTGCCCTCTCTCAGCTGTTCAGATTGACAAGGTAGACCAGATGGTTAAGGAGCCGTGGGCCCACATTTGTGGCCCAAGTTTGATCTCTTCTCAAAATACCCACCTCCAACTCCTAGAGATTTGAGCTGCTAACCTGCATGTGTCGAACAATACCAGATCACTCTAAAGGGAGTGTCCAAGATTTTACCTGGGATGTGACGAGCAAGGTCTCCGGTGCCTATCTACCGCGCAGTGAGTCATAGGGTACAGCCCTGAGTTTTATAGATCCCACACATTTCATCTGCTACAGGGTAAGGTGCTTGCCCGTGCGGGCACTGCAGGTATAGGACCCAGGTGAGCTAAAGACTAACCACTGTACATATATATGCCTTATGTAATTTTTTCTTTTGGCAATTAGTAATAAAGCCCAGCATGTACAAAAGTACTGTAGAACAGAACTTCTATTAAATAATGTATATAGATGTATCATTAATGTAGTTTTAGATATCTAACTTTAGAAATAAGAAGAAAAAAAGATTCCCAATGTACAGTAGGCATTTCTTTTTTGATATCTGTGTTTTCCAACTATTTTGATTTCATGAACTGCTGGCCCTTTAATGCATGGCCTTTGTTCTGGGTCCCAGACAGGCAGCCGTTAGGGTTCCTCTCTGTTCCCTTGCTGATCCTTTTGTTGAATCTAATAAGCCATAGGTTTCGGGGGCAGTTGGGAGATCCAGTAGACGGGAAGACCCACCACCAATAAGCTGATATACTGTGACATGTTTACAAAACAGGTGTCATTTCCTTCAAGAGAACAAGGGCCTCACTAACCAGCCAGGGAGAGACTCCCCGGAACGGCCCTTCTCTAGCATGTCACCAATGATGTGTTGATGCTTTTTGAGTGAGCTCTCGCCCTTTGGGATACAACTGTTTAGGGAACTTTTCTGCAAATCCAACTGATCCTCCCTGTAATCATGAGAACCACAGGAAATTAGGAGAACGTGCACTCTAGGCAAGATGGCTTGGGTCTGAAGCCACGGAACCAGGGAGGGCCATGATGGTGGCACACAGTGTCCTCGTTGAGCTCCCCTGCCAGGCGCCACCTGGCCTGGAGGAGGGCATCTTGCCTGTCCTGGGGGCTGAGCCATCCACACTTCTTGCATTGGGATTTTTTTCGTCTTCTTTTATAATTACGAAGTGACCAGTATTCAGTATTCAAAGATTAGATCAACAGTTTTAGTCACTGTCTAAGACATCTCTCTAGGGTGTGCCACTATTTTAAAAAATCAAACCCAAAGCATCTGTCAATGAAAAGAAAGCCAAAAAAACGTAGCCTTAATTCATTTTAACATGCAGAGATGAAAGAAGGAAGGAAGGATGGATGGATGGAAGGGAGGAAGGGAGGGAGGAAGGAAGGAAAAGAGGGTGGTTTTGTACTGCAAACCCAAATTTCAAAATGAAAACAATAGAGAAGGAAGAGGACTCAGACAAAACCTCAGGGGCAGGTGGAGATTTTGCACTGAAAAGATCCTTCACGTTAATTTCGCATTTACAAACTGTCTGTTCTCCAACAAGGTGGCCCGTCATGAATATTCATTGAGTGGATCCAAGTTTATTCTCAGCTCCTACAGCTGTGCTGCAGTTTGAGGCTTTGGGCTATGAGGTCAAGAAGATCAAACCGGCTGTCCCTCTGTGACCCGTGGCCTTGCCCGACTGTGGGGAACGGGCCTTTGTTCTACTTAGGGACCCTGTCTACCAGAAAGGACACCCCAGAGATAAGGGAGGCAGCCCCTCTGGTGAATGCATCAGGACAACAGCTTCTTGGCTCTGACTGCGGGGAAACCACAGCTGTCACCGCGAGCCCCTGCCAGCACCTCATCCTTGGCGTCCATTGTCTGTTGAATCCTTTATTCCTCCCACAGGGTCAAAGGAGGAGTCGGCAAGGAGGAGCCGGCCCGGGCTCTTCCTGCGCTCTCCGGAGGCTGTGGGCAGTAGGGACCTGACCTCGCTGGAGCCTTAGGATGGGCGCCCCTGGCCCTGGGCACAACCTACAGTGTCCAGGGCTTTGGGGGCAGCGCCAGTAGCACAAATCGGCCCGGGGCTGCGGCTCGGCTGCTGATCTAGCTCTTGAAGTACCTTCTTGAATCCGGAACTGAGGCTCCAAGGACAAACTCTGCAGGGGGGGGGGGGGCCTGGTCCCTTCTTGCCTGACCTTTAGCACAACGGAAGCAAGAGTGGACGCCTGGGTCTCCCGCAGGTCTGACCCCAGGGCATCCCCCGGGGGGGAAGGTCCCTCCGGTGTCCCACTGTCTTGGTGTCGGTGTCGCTGGGCACAGAACTCAACCAAATCTCGTAATTTTCATAACGTGAGCTCTGAATCTTTAGAGGAGGACGCTCCTGAAGGACTTTTGTTAGAATGTCCCTTTAAAACGCGTCTATTTTTCTACAGTTTAACAGTGTATTTTGTGTCAACTGTTAAAATTTGGAGGTGAAACAAGTTCGTTAAGTCTGAATTTTCTAAGCAGCAAGTAGTGAGTGGGGTTTTTCACGAGGACGGTTGGACCAGGGGACCCCACGGTTTCTACCCTTTGTGTTCCACAAGGCCCAGCGCTCGTCCACCGGGAGGTCCCGCCCTCCGTCCAGCAAATCGAGTGCTTTGAAATAAAGAAGGCGGTTTAAATGCACCACCGATGCCACGGCCACGGGCTCGCTCTCGCCTCGCCTCGGGTGAGAGCTGCGGTCAGGGGCAGCTGAGTCGCCTTTCCCTAAAGCGTGGTGAGGTCCGTGAGCCAGGGAGGCTGGCGGTGAAGCCTGACCTGGACCCCGTCTGGCGGAGTGAGAGGGGTGCCAGTCCCCTGGAGGTCTCACCTCCCCCGGCCCAGCACGCTGTCCAGTTCATCTCTAAGTCCCGGGTGTCGCTCATCAGGGTGTGCATGCTGCTGGCTGTCCCCCGCCGTCTGCGTCAGCCCATCCGCAGCCACCGTAATGGGAGGCGCTACCCTTCCCAGCCAGCCTGGTTGACCCCACGACCACTCTGTGTCCAAGAGGCGGAGCTCTTCCCCTGCTGCCCTTGTCCCTCTGTCCATTTCCTCTGCTCTTTCCCTTGTTCTCTGGTTTCGAATCCATTGATGCGATTCAGTATCTTGGGTTCCCTAAGAAATCCATCTGCTCTCTCTAAAGCTGTCAGCCTATTGGCCTATTTCTTTGTTTTTTCGTTTTGGTTTGTTTTTTGGTTTTTGTTTGTTTGGTTTTTTTGTTTGTTTGTTTGTTTGTTTGTTGTTTGTTTTTTGGGTTTTTTTTTGGTACCGGGTATTGAACCCAGGGGCTCGAAACCACGGAGCCTCATCCCCAGCCCTTTTTATTTTATATTTTGAGACAGGGCCTCACTGAATTGCACAGGGCCTTGCTAAGTTGCTAGAACTGGCTTAGAATTCAAGGTCCTCCTGCCTCAGCCTCCTGAGCAGCTGGGGCTCCGGCGGGTGCCTGTGTGCCCAGCTCTGTCAGCCTATTTCTTAAGCACAATTTTCTCTTCCAGGCTTAACCAACCACTCCAGGGCTCTGACTTATCTATTTCCAAAACACTCTAATTATTTATGATTTCATGGAAAAGCCTAAATTCTCCATGCTCCAGAGGCACACTCTCATGACCTCCTTCCCTGCATTTTCTTATATTTCATTGATTGGAGTCAGTCTCTTTGGGTTATTCAGAAACAGTTTATAAAACACGGGAACATAAGAGAACCTTGCAAATTCCACGGCTCGCGGGGAGGTGGTTTGATTAGCTTGAAGGACACACTTAAAATGCTCATAGTAAGTCACTTCAGAATGGCTCACGGGGAGAGTCGACTCAGTCTCTCCCTCCTCCACTTGGGTGATATTCAGTGTGAGTCAGAAGGGTCGGGAAGGTAGAGGACAAGAAAATCCATGGCACGCCATTACCTTCTATCACAACTCCCTTCCCACCGTTGGCTGCAAAGTTGGAAAACATGACAACATATGTACAATAGACAATTCGTTGATATTACACACTGTCAAATAATGCCTGCTTTCTAGACTTCACAGCCAACCTGGGTTTAAGAAAATTGGATCCTTTAATCTGAAATGGAGTCGACCACCACTCTTCCCACTGTTTCTGCCCTGTCTTGGAGGGTTTTGATGCAGAGTATCATCCAGAAGGGAAAACTATGTCAGAAACCACTAAATATTTGAACCAAGCACAGCATGTACAGTTAACACCCCACACCGAGTGGCAAACTCAGAGCACTCACCCCAAGTACTCCTGCAATTCTAATCCATCTGAAAGGTTGAGCATTATAATTTACTCTTTTATTTGTTTGTTTGGGATACCAGGGAGTGAATCCAGGAGCATTTAATCACTGAGCCACATCCCCACCCCTTTTTATTTTTTATTTTGAGATAGGGTCTCGCTCAAGTTGCTTAGGGCCTTGCTAAATCGCTGAGGCTGACTTTGAACTTAGGATCCTCTTGCTTCAGCCTCCCAAGCAGCCGGAATTACAGGCATGTACCACCATGCCTGGCATATTTTACTTTTTTATAAAAAGGAAAACTAGGGTTCTTAGCAAACTGAGTAACTTCCTCAAGGTTCCAAGGTCAGTAATTCATAGATTCTGGTCTCAAACCTGGGCCCCAAGGCTGAAAATGTCAGGCTTTTTTGACTATAAGAAACATTTGGCAAGCCACGCCTACTAACAGAATCTGGCTGCCTGCCTGTTATCACACCACCTGTGAACTAAGACTGATTTTTGTATTTTTCTAAATGGTTGGTGGAGGGGACAAATGAAGAATATGCAACTCATGAAAATAATACAGAACCCAAATTCCAGGGTCCATAAATAAAGTTTCCTTAGAGCACAGCTGAGTATCACCCAGCAGGAGAGCCTGGAATATATACTGTCTGGCCCTTCAGAGGAACAGCTCCCAGCCCCTCACTGCACTGGAAGTGCTGTCAGTCATCGAGTACTTAAAGGACTAGCAGAGCTGCTGGGAACTGTGCTGTCCTTTAAGAGACCCCTGGGAAATGCAGAAAGGCGTTTCCAGTACAGATCGATTGAGGTCCCTCACAGGTCTGTTGCAGGAGAACAGAACACGGATTTTGGTAAAGGGACAGGGTTTTATAGGTCTTTGAGAACAAGTCCTATAGTAGGGGCTCACAGGAGGAGGGAAGGCTGCCTCCTCAGACTGTGGCCCCCAGGGTGGCAGGGTGAATGGCCAGCTGGGATCCAGGGCTCAGCTCAGTCAAACCACTACCAAAAGAAAAGAGAATTCCTGGCCTGTGATTGAAATGTCACTCTGCCGGTACCCACAGGCCTCAGCTTCTACAGATTGCTGCCCGCCAGACTCTGCTCCCCCTGTAGGGTGAGGGGACTTGCAGTGGGGTCCCACTGCAAACCAGCCTCCCCTCCCCCACGGCCTCTCTCAGGCACTCTTGGAGAACTAACCAGGCTACTGAGATGTCTCCCCATTTCCCATCCTGTTTCCTCTAGCCTTTAGTGTACAATCCATCCATGTGGGAAAGAGGAGCTGGAAGCGTTGCCCACGTTAAATGGTACCAACGTGGCCCTCTGTGGCCACCTGCTGGAAGTTTCACATGCAAATAAGGAGCTCTAGGAGAAACAGGGTGGTAGAGGGTGGTGGGGTCATAGGTCACTCTCTGCGTCTAAAGCACAAGGTAACAGAAACACTGGATGGAAAGAATCCAGATAAGGGGGGTTGGGGATAAGTGGATATTAAATGACATTTTTCAGTGTCATGGGCTTGACTCACTTGTGTTTTAAGGAAGCGTTTCTGTTTATGAGTCCTGCTAAATAACATATCAAGTTCTTTTATGAGTGCTTTCCTGCAAATTAGGCTGGAAAGAAAATATTGTTACTTTGTAGCAAATGTGTGCAAGTTGCATTGTTGAAAGATAAACGATGGATTTGATCCTGTGTCTGAAACTAAGCGGGTCCTGGCGTCTGCAACAGAAACCATGCAGAAAGTTTGCAACCCTTCAGCTGCATGGAGAGGGAAGTGACTAAGTGGGAGAAAACAAATCTCAAATTTCAACACCATAAAACTTAAATAAATGTACAAGGAGCCAAACTTTTACTTGGCCTCATTGCCTTGGCAAAAAAAAAAAAAAAAGTAGTTTCATGCATCACCTAATTTAAGTAGAAGAGTCCTAGGGAAAGGGAGGCAAAATACTTCTAGAAACATACAGGGATTGAGGCAATCGATATGATCCAGTGGTGGAGGGTTAGCACTAATAGAGATGTATCCCTAAAGTTATTTTTAGACACTCTGCCCCTAGACACGAATCCTAATGTACATCGTGGTTGGCCAGAGGATGCTGACCACTAGTCAGCAGACCTCAATTTCAGAGAATGAAGTGTTCCTACCGTCCAAGTGTAACTGGCCATTGCAAGACCAAGGTTCAGCACCCATTGTCATGGCACTGATCATAAATACTGTGATATCAACTGAGCCAATCTTTATAAGAACACGAAGGGCTGTTTTTCTCAGGCAATGTAAATATCTGCTACCAAGGAGCACTAGTAAAATAAACATGTGATTCATCACCATTTCCAAAATTGTAATGGAAGTCATAAAATGTTCATCCAAAGCAACAAGGTATCCCAGGAGCCCGAGATCAGACTTCTGGCCATGAAGTCCCTGGTCCAGGCCCAATGCCTTGCATATCAGGGTTAGATCTACCCACCACAAAATCCAGCTAGTAGAACTGGATCCAAGTCCGGCTCTGTATGATCTGAACCTCTGGGTCTTCAGCCAGTGTTCTCAGATGAGAGAGGAAGGAGCATTGTCCTCAGATCCACCGTGCAGGCTTCATGATGCACCACCTCAACACCACCCGGAGGGGTGGGTATGGGCAATGCCTTGGCCAGTGCATGAGCCTTGACCATGCCACCTGCCAAGGTCTCTGAATGGGCTTTCGTCCATCTGTGGGAGTGTCTTAGAGCACCTCTGAGTCAAGAATGAGGACTGAATGAGGGGGCCTTCCATATGCAAATCCAAACAAAATAGTACAAAAGAAAAATGGGGGAGTGTGGTGAAATCCCCACAAGGTTTGGCTTTCTCACAGTGATTCTGCGCCAGTGGTTTCTGTTTTGTTCTTCGGCTAGATAAGTCTTCACCTCTAGAAATCGTCCCTCTGGGTCTCC